TTCTTTTCATATCTTTTTTATACATTCCAATCACCCTATCTTCCAGAAATTTTTATTGTTTTCCTAATGAGATCACTTCTATGCTCTTCCTTTTGGCATTTCATCTGCTCCATGTATCTTTATTCGAGTCATGGGGCATTATCATTAGCTCACTTTATTCATGGATTGGAGAAGATGTTTTATTTTTACATGAATTATTAGCTTCTCCTCACCCCTCTCAAGTGGACTCCTTCTCTCACATCTGCATTATTCCGCTGGAGTCTGCTCATCTGGATGTGTTCTTCCACTCCCATCTCCATTAGGTTCAGCCTTTTTCACCTCAATTACGACTAATGGAATGTCTTGTTACCTAGTTTTGTGCTTTTCTTTCACATCCTGTACACATGGTTTTTTGTTTTTGGAAAGTCTGGCTTCCCCTGAACCACTTCTTCATTCAGGTACTTCTTCCAGTTGAAATTGTAGGACTAGTAGCACCTTTCTCAGTATCCATTGTCCTTGAGTGTGCACTTCCCTTCTCCTCTTCTCAAAGATTTGTCTTGGTGGTTTGATCATGCCAACACCATGATGGGTAATCCCCTGCTATTTCCCTGACCACACCTCATACATACCTCTCTGTTGGGCTTGTGAAGGGGGAATTTCTGGACAACTACATAACTTTGGTTGTGTAGTCTCTGGTGGAGCTTTTACAGCACATCAAATCTTTGAATTTCTCGCCACCTGTTGGGCATTTTCCCATTTTCCCTTTTCTGATGGATTGGATGTTCATGATTTACTCTGACTATTCCTCCATTTCTTATATCAACTGTTGGGAGAGGGGGGTGGGGTACCTGTTCCAGGACTCTCTGCTTCCTAGAATGGAGCCTGCTATTTTGAGGTTATTCTCATTGGGTTTGTCTCGTGACATATCATGTGCCAGGGGCTTGGAACTTGGTGGCAGTTTGATTCTCTCTCTGCCAGATAGTATTCTAACCACAGAGTGTTTTCTCCATCCTAAAGTTTTTTTGTTGGGTTTGCTCAGTTAGGCATGCCTATCATCAATTCAACACCAGATTTCTCCATTTCAGATCCCCAGTTCTTCATCCTTCAGCCCTGGCAGTCACAAGTGACTCATTGTCAGGTCCTTTTGGTAACATCTCTTTGGCTTGCACAACTCTGATTTCCTCTACTTTGTCAATTAGAATCTGGGCCCCCTCTTCTTCTGCCCCATTCCCACACACTCTTGCTCCAACCATGTTTCTCTTTCTTGTCCCTCCATCTTTACATGGGGGATTTGTCCAGTACATTACCTGTAGGACTGGATTCTCTGATATGTAGCTTTTTTTTTGTAAAGAAATCTCATTCCTGTCATCTTTCAACTTTGTTCATCTATCAACAGAAGTTGCGGGTTTTTCAACAATGGTTCATCAGCCTTTCCCTTCTTCCAGACCATCCTCTTGTGGCCACTTTTGGCCTTTTTACCTATGGATTGTTGGTTTCCAATATTTCTTGTTTTCAGGCAGCATTGTGAACTACCTTTTGCCTGTCAGGTCTTTCTTCTCCTGTCTCTCTTCACTTTGCTTCAGTTCTTCATTCTTCCACAGCACACTTGTCCTACGCCCATGTTTGACTGGGACTTTGACGTGGTTTTACATTCTTTCATATTTCATCTCATCAGATTCATTAACTATCTCACTCTTGCATCTAATTTTCACTGAGACTTGGATGAGATCTTTCATGTTGGCATGTGGATGAATCAATACACATTTGTCTCCAATTGTCTTTATCATCTGTTATTTTATCTCCTGTGGGATTTTGACTCCCTCTGGTCACTGTTCTTCAAAAGAACTACATACTGTCTTTAAGAAGGGTAAGTACATTTTCGTTTTCAGCACCCTTTTTCTCTTTAATATGATTCAACAAGGTGAATGGTGTTGATTCCCAGGGTATGCTTCTTTCCCAAAAGCTGCATTGGGCTGGGGGTAATGGAAAATGCTCAACTAATCCATTCTGGCTCAACCAGTGCCTACTGTTGAAATGGAGTGTTCTGCAAAATCACTAGAGATATCGTTGTGGTATTACAGTTTACTCATTTGCCCAGTCGAGACTGTACTATCCCATGGACTATCATGGAAAAAGCCATCATTTCTTTGGCTTGTGTTTGCCAACTTTTAAAATATCTTTCCAGCATGCATTTAATAGGTATTAGGGCACTTCTCTGGGTTCCTCCCTTCTTTAACTTGAGCATGGGAGACCCTTGCCATGTACCAGTTCCTAGCCACTGAGGTGGTAGACCCTGGAGAATTCTTCATTAATTGTGCACAGCACTAATGGGAAGTAGGGCAGTGGTGACACTGTCTGTGTAGTGTGGTTCATCTCTCAAACAGCTAGTTTGCCCTCCTCTTGCAGGGAAAATCTGTCCAGTTGAGTCAACGTGTGACATACTGTATGGTCTGATCACAACCTAACCATGTTACAATTTTTGGCTTGCTGGCCATTTATGTGTGGGTACTCAATTAGTTTTGGTCAAAATCCACCCATCCCTGCGATACTTGACGCTCTTTCGCTTTTCCCTCTGTTCCCTTCCAAGCAAAGAATATAACGCTCTTTTGCTTTTCCCTCTGTTCCCTTCCAAGCAAAGAATATAACGTGGTCGAGATGACATGTAGTCTCCCACAAGTATGTCCCTATGGAGCTCCTACCATCAGGTGCCGCTTCCCATGGGCTTTGCTTCAGACACTTTTGGAAGGGAGCTTATCCAAGTTTAATGTTTGCATAGGCTTCTTCTCCATTTCAATGCTGGATTCCAGCTATTCTTTGTTTGGAAGCAAGTATCTATGGGAAATATATTTTCATGTAAGGGAAATGTTAACTTTACTGTAAAGTTATTTTGTTTTTAATTTATAGCTATAGAATTACATGTACACATTTCTGTGAAATAAACAATAATTTCTATACTTTCACACAAAACCCTTAATCAGGGAATCCTGTTCTAGTGTGATGTTACAATACACATCATTAATGTGAAAGTTTTTCCAAGTCCTTATCTTTAGAGACCTGTGTATATTTGGTGAAAATCTTATTCAATATTCTTTATGACTAGATAGTCTGGTGGTTAGAGTGTTTGACTCAAATCTGCGGGTCATGGGTTTGAATCCCCATCACTGAACATGCTCACTCTTTGAGCCATAGAGATACTGTAATATGACAGTCAATCCCCCTATTCATTGATAAAAGAGTAGTCCAAGAGTTGGCAGTGTGGGGTGTTGTATGAAAAAAAAAATGACTAAACTGTTGACAATAGCCTTCTCTAGCTCAGTAAAACAAAACATGAATGAGTAATCCTGTGAACTGTTTATTAGCACATGAAGATGAGTTACCTGAGAGAGGCAAGTGACATTCACATGCTGAGTGGCAAATCAGTAGATTACAATGTACATGGTACTGCCTGCAAATATCATAGTAACGAAAAGCCACTAATCACTCTTATTTAAACTGGAAGTGAAGTTTTTAGGTACCATAGCTCAACATACATAGATGTCACATGTTTACAATAATTAACATAACACTGTTAGAAGCCCATCAGGAAGTTACATCATATAGAGTAGTTTAAACTTAGACAAAATAATGGCACAAAATGTAAGTAGGAAATTTGGAAATTGCTGTTAATAGAAGGTGTGTGTGAAAAGTAATAGGTGTATATGATGTGATATGTAATAATTGTGTATCTGAAGGAAGAAATAGTGATAACCTAATTCATCACAATATATCAGGCAGGTGGCAGCACTGTCTATATAGGGATGGCTCTGATTGGTCATCAAAATGGTATTTTAAATATCTCCTCAATAGATCATCAGAACTTTACAATACTATACATGGTTTCCTTTTATAACCATATCTGTGTAATAATTGAGTCACAAGTTCTGGGAATGTCTGCAAATATCATAGCAAAAAGTTTGAATTTCTTGTTCTTTCTTCTGCTTCTTTTTATTACGTAATAACTTAAAAACCAAAAAAATTGGGTAATCCAAATTCACTGAGGTGACATAGTTTCAAATAGAGAATCCATTTTTTCAATTATTATTAATAACTTATAGTAATTTAAGAAATCTTAATTCTAGTGTAAACAATGTTGTCATTAAGTTAGCTTTCTTTACAGGAATGTGGTGTTCCTTTAAAAAGCTAAAGAACAGGGTGAAACACAAATTACCAGCCAATAAGCAATAAATATTACAATTGGAACTTCGTTGTATTTAGAACTTGGTTATAAATACAATGTTCCCATGTCTATTGAAGCACTGTATTAAAAAACAAGTAAAGGAAATAAAAATTTTCAAAAAAATGAAGTAAATGTAGGGATGGCTAATATCAATCATTCAAAAACAAGATAGTAGAGATGACATTTGCACCATCCCTACATAATAGCACAGGCAATAATTAACATATAGCAATATATATTACTATTCAATCACAATTGAGTTTAATTTATCCTATTTTTGTCTGTTAATATTCAACTACACTGTGTGCCTGTGCTGTTATGTAGGGATGATGCAAATTCCATTGCTACTATATTGTTTGCATTGTTTTTGAAGGATTGATATCAGCCATCTATACATTTACTTCCTTTTTTGAAAAGTTTTTCTTTACTTGTATATATATATATCTTAAAATTTTCACTTTTTAGAAGTGATATTTTTATCTCAACATAAATGTGGATTTAGTTAATAATTATCAAAAGTATAGTTTCACATAAAAGAAAAGGTTAATTTTTTTTTACACGTTTGATCGTAATGTTTAAAAACTAATTTTGTACTTAAGAATGAAGATGTTAGTGTTTTTTTTGTATTTTTTCAGATGAGTGGTAACCTTAATCAGACAGATTTATTGAAATAATAAAACATTTGTAATGGTTGAAATATGTTTTAACTTCCAAGAAAATGGTTCTAATTATTCCATGATACTGTTTTAAATTTTTCAAAAGTTTCACTGAAGATCCTCCAGATCACTTTTTTTTTTTCCTTTAGATTTCTGGAATCTTATAGTAAGGATGTCTGGTTACCATACTATATGCACAATCACAATATCATGTTGAGTTATTTTTGCCTTACTGGAGAAAAAAATCCTGAAAAGGATAAAGTTTCCTGTGCTGATGGCTACAGTACAGTTGGCAGTTGAACAGGTAAACTTTGAAGCAGGGACTCACCCTCATCATGAACAGAGTGTAAGGTCTTTTGACAGTGTGGTTGATCCATATACAGATTTTACAATGGACAGCTGTCAACACATAGATGAATTGCCTGTTGTTTCACAGAACATGTACTCCTCACATCGATTCATTACGTCAAATGATACTGACGTAAACAGAAGTAAATATGATTTTATTGTTTTTATATTTCATTTTTTCTTGTAAACTTGTACCTTATTTTAAAAGAAACTTGCATCTTTTTATTATATTCTAGTAACATATCTGTTTTTTGTTTGTTATAATTTCAGACATTTATTATGTTTGTGAAGTTTGAAATGTTGATTTTAAAATTTGAGTTTGTACATTTACAGAAAAAACAAACCATATAAGAAAGAGTCGAAAGTCATCTTACACCTATCGACCAGACTTGAAATTGACACCAGGTAACTCACCCACTCCTCCAGAAGATCAAGATAGTGAGGTTGATGATAAAGCTATTCCAAATGAGGATCAAAATAAACAAGCCAACAGTGAAGCTTCCAAAATGATAGATGATGATGAAGACATACTTTATTGTTATGGATATCAGGCTGCTGTTGTAAATTATCCATATATATCTAACCCAGTATGTATTATTAGCATTATTTTATTATTTTACTTATTTGATGTTTATGAAAATTTGATTAAGTTAAACACCCAAATTACTTGCACTAAAAAAAACTTGATAAACTGTTACACGTGTAATAAAAACATGACAAAGGTAACGTTGTAATATACAATAATTAACAGACAAATATGAAGATTTTACATAGTATTAGATATGAAGAATGGATACTTTATCATTAGAAGTAGCACTGTTACCTGCATTATTTCTACTTAAAACAGGTTTTTGTAGCATTCATAATGTATAATTGGTTTACTATTCCAAATAATTTTGATTCACTAATGTTACATTACTGCTCTCAGGTTGCTCAGTACCTTAATGAACACAATCCAGAGCTTCGTGCCAAAGCCTTGGAGGCATACCATAAAGAAATAAATTTGTCTCCACCTTCTTTGCAAGATGATAATGATTCAAAAGAATTTAAGGAAATATTCTTTCCATCTCCATTTAAAGCTATGACAAACACATCTGAAGCTCTAGCCTTACAACAATCTGTGATTGGTAAGTATACCAAAGTGATATTGCATAATTACAATCTTCATAATAAGGATTTCAAAATTTATCATAATTCTTAGGTATTATATTTTCAAATTGCTATTTAGTTAGGCTTATTTCAACATAGCTATATGAGGATTCAAATCAGCTTGTATGTTGTTGGTTTTTGTTTTTTTTTCAAAAAATGAAAAAACCTTAACTGTTAAATGTACATAATATTTGAGAAGTGGTGGTGTATATATGCAGTGCTTTCCGGTTTATAACTTGGGATTTGGGGGAGGCAAAGTGACCCTTGTTATAAGACCTCCTGCAGTATAACCGAGGAAATGGTCAAATTACCTAATACAGAATGTACTTACAACTTTTTGTTTTTTTAATTTTCTTTAATTGCTACAAACAACAAAATACAAAAAATATGTATTGACATCAATATAAAGTCAGTACATGGAATTTATTTAGTTGAATCATTTTCTTAAAAAGTCAGTAATTTTTTGTTATTTTTTACCAAAGAATTTTTTGTGCAAGATCATTTTTTTTCAGAGAACTTAACTGCAAACATTTCACTGGCTCAATATCCTGTTGTGTCTCTAGCCATGTCTTTACAGTTTCTGATTTGCTTAATGCTTCCTGAGGAGTTGGCAGATTGGCAGGCTTCTCATCTTGATTCTCCAACTCTTGGTCACTACACTTGGTCCCCTTTTTCCTGATGGCACATTCAACAATGTTTTCATAAGTCAATACATGGCATACTGATTCTTCATTTTCAGTATCAACCCACTGTTTGATCATGTTTTCCATGAGTTCTTAATCCCCAAGGATAACCCACAGCGAAAGGTTCCAATGTAGGATGTAGGAGGAAGGAAGACTTGTAGTTTATCCAAATCCATAGTAATAAGTGACGGTGTTATAACCTGGGATCACTGTATATATATATATATATATATATATATATATATAATCACACATTTCTGTAATTATTCATCTTGTGTTTTGATTTTATATACTGTATTTAGCTTGAAATTGTCCCCAGATTTGTGTTTTATTCACAGGTAAGATGAGAAGATAATTAGTTGATAGATTTAATGCCAATTGTTTATGTCAAAGTTGATTTTTTGTGTGTGTGTTATATTTACATTGAAATAAAATATATTATTTAAACATTATTTACATTAGGAAATGCTAGTGTAAAACCAGTAGCCCCTGAAGTTGTTGCACAGATTGTAGCTTCCACCAAAGCACGACTTAACCAGTCTGCCTCCAGTTCTTCAGTTTCTGATGGTTGTACAATGATGACAGAGAAGTCTTCCAAAAAATTTTCAATAGACTTTGAGAATGAAAAACAAATACCTAATAAAGGAGTGAATCAGCGGAAAATACCTGATGGTGTTATTTTTAATGAATTAATTCGTTATCCCCGAGAAGCTATAACAACAACTTTTGAAAAGAAAGTTGGGTTTTTCAATTCAAGTTCCTCCTCAGGTGCAGAGAATCCTTCTTCATCATCTGTTTCAAGTACTCCAAAAAAAAGTCTTTGTAAGAGTGCTGAAGCAATATTTTCTAGAAGCAGGCATAGTAGCCAGAGCAGTATTGGAAGTATTGAATCACGTAAAGGGGCCAAAATTGAGATGGCTGGTACACATATTGGAAGGAAATATGTTCCTGAGGAGTTGCTGGATAGGCTTGAAAAAGAAAGAATGGGTCAGCCTTCGGAAGTTACAGATTTCTCAGAAAACCCTTTGAAGGAACCAACCACAAAAAACAATATAATGAAACCTGGGTCTGACAAAGGAGACTCGAATTCAATGTGTTCAGAATCATTTGAAACAGAATCAAACTTTTCTAGTGTTACAGGCATTGAAGAAGAAATGTTTTATATTAAAAAATTACTTATCAATGTTCCATCTCCTCATTCAAAGTTCTCTTCAGGAAATCACCAAGATGAAAATTCTTCTTTTGACAGAATTCAACAGTTAGAACAACAACCATTAGCAGTTGAAAAACAACCATCTTCCCAGCTTCAAGACCAGGCAACTGAAACTGATAACTTGGAGTATTTTGAAATTCTTTGTCAGAATGCTAACTTTCAAGGTCAAGTTCATACTTTGAGAAGTGAAATAGAATCTGTTATGAAGGACAAAATGCAACTTAAAGAATCAGTAGCAACATTAGAAAGCAGTATAAAAGCAGAGCTAGAAGATAAAGAAGTTTTAAACAAAGAAAAGCTAGAACTGATGGCAGAATTTGAAAGAATAAGCAAGGAACATAGAGGTTGGAGTAATGTTATAGCTGAGTATCAAAATGTCATTGACTCTAAGATTGCTGAGATAAAAGGTTTAAAAGAAGATCTCTCTGAATCTCAGATAGAAAAAGCAAAACTGAAAGTTAATTTGGAAGAGACTAAGGTTGATATAGAGTCAAAAGATGGAGCAGTTGAAGGGCTAAAGAAGAAAATAGCTGAGTTACATGTTGAAGTGTTGACTTTGTTGCAAAGAAAAGTTCAACTTGAAAATGATATAAAGAGTGTAAAAGGAGAAATGGAAACCCTAAGGAAATCAAAAGAGTGGTACCAACAACAACTCAGTTCAGTTCAAGAGAATCGAAATAATATTCACCAAGATCTTATTAAGACTCAGGCTGAGAAAGTTTTTTCCAATAAAGTCCTGGAAGAGTTGAAGATTGAAAACAAGCAATTGAAACAGCAGTTGACAGAAACTCAACAGAAAGCAGTCAAAGAGAAGGAAATCTTGATGAAACACCTTGAGACCATTGAAATGGATATGATGGAGAGAGAATCACTTTTTCAACAGATTCAGAAGGACAGAGGAGCAGCTGAAGAAAGTCTTACAATAAGAATGAAGAAGTTAGAAGAAGAGCAGTCTAATCTTAACAACCTTAATTTTACCATTTCTGAACTGGAACATCAACTTAGTGTAGCCAAAAAGGATATTACTTCTAAGGAAGAAATGATACAGAAATGTGAAAAAGATCAAGCAGAATTATTAAAACAACTGGTACTTTACCAAAAAACCATTAATGAAAAGGACCTCTCCTCCCAGTGGCTGGAACAGCAGCTAAAAGATTCAGACCAAAAGTTGAAGCTTGCAGAACTTAAGTTGTCTACCCTTGAAGAACAGATTATGACACTGAAAGGAGAGAAAACTGCAGTTGAAATAGCTCTTGCAGCTGCTAATGAGGAAAAAAAGGCAGTAAATGAGACTCTTTGGAATCTAAAAGACAACTTGAATTGTGTTGAGGGTACTTTCAAACAGATGAGGACAGAGTTAGTGGCCAAGGCTGCTCTTGTTGAACAATTGCAAAAAGAAAAGAATCACATTGAAGACTCTCTCCAGAAGGCTGAAGCAAAACTTCTTCAGCAAAAGCAAGAGTTTGAGTTCAAGTCCACTACTGAAAATAAAAATACAGAGATTATGTTGCAAGATATTCAGTGCCAGAAAAACGAATTAGAAGCTGTGCTGGAAGCAACCAAAAAGGAACTACTACAGATCCAGAAATCTTCTTCTAAGCTTACAGAAGAAAGAGATGGTTTGAAGAAACATATTTCAGAAATTACAAAGTTGTCTCATTCCAATGAAGAAACAATCAGTTTGCTAAAAGATCAGAATTACCAATTGACTACAGTGATAGATAATTTTAAAGGAGGCCAAGATGATATTGACACTTATTCATATATTACCAAAGCCAAGCATGGAGTGCCTGATCCAACCATGAATGTTGAAGAAACTTACAAGTTGAAGCTTCAGCAACTCAGTGAAGCCCTTGAAACAACTGAAAAGGAATTTAAAAAAAGGCAAAGGATGTATGAGTCCAACATCAAGCTATTAACAAGAAAGCTAAAAGAGTCAATGAAAGCCAAAAAGAAAGTTGAACAAGATCTTCAGAGAATCCAAGTTTATACTGTTGAGGCTGAACAGCAAACAGAGGATGATGTGTATGAACAGTTTCTAGCAAATGAAAATCTTAGAAACAAGGAAAATGAGCAGCTAAAATGTAAAGGTGACTCAATGCAACTTGAGGAGCACAAGAAAAGGATTGATTATTTAGAACAAGAGCTGAAAGTTCTGCATAAAAAAGCAGAAGAATGCAGGCTCACTGCAGAGCAAAGGCAAGAGTTTATTCTTAAACTGGAGAAGGATAAAGGACGATTAGCAGGTAAGTGAAGTAATACTCAAAACTTCTATTGTTTTATTTGGTACTGTGACAAAAAAAATCATATTTTGATAAATATTAGTACAATACTTATACAAATTACTGAGTTTTGGAGGAGTTAATGCTCAAGTAAACAAATATTTCTTTGTAAGTTCTTTAATGTTGAAAATAGGAGAATTGTTTTGTTTAAAATCTTTTACATACAGTTTGTTCATTTTGTATTCGTATGAAGAGAACAGAATGAATTGTTTTAATCCAAACAGTTGAATAATGTTGTACATACTTATTATGGCAATAAGTACATTTGTCAAATGTTTAATTATTATTGATATCATAGTGTTGAACTTTAAACCTTCTAAGAATGTTGAGCATTAATCTTTAAAACAATATCTAGTTTAAAGTAGACAAAACCTGTGATGTCAGATTACATGTTTCTCACAGAAAGATGTTTATTAACATTATCAACAGAAAGTTTAGCCACAGTCAAACAGCATGTGACAGGGTTGGAAGCCCAGCTATTGGAAAAACAGTCTGAACTAACAGAACTTAATCATCAGTTGAAGACAGTTGAGCAGTCCTACAAGGATGATGCTGTCAAAAACAAAGACAAGTTATCCACACTGGAACAAGAACTCACCAAAGAAAAGACTGTTACAAAAGAGTTAAGACGACAAGTGAGGATGTTTGTAGATATGTTTAATTTCTATTAGATAAATAGCAGCAGTTTGTTGTTTTTAATAGTGTAATATTGAAGACAGTACTTTTTCTGTTGGTTTATTTTCATATAAATAGTGTTTAATATTAAATCAGTAATAATGAGAAGGTATGTACATTCATAAAAGTAAATACTCCACAGCCAAAAATATCCAGTAAGCCAAAATAAACCTTCATTCATTAGGGGGAAAACCAGAAATGTTTAGTAGGTTTTTTATATTATTTTTGAATGTGTGATTGCAATTAGGGTATCAATAAATGAAAACTTGTTTCACTTTTTGAAATATTATTATACCCGAAATAAAAGATGTTACAAGGCTGAGTCTAAACCCAATTTACATTTTTGTATACATGAAATCATTGGTCCAAAAGCAAAATTTATCATAGCTGTAAATGCCAAAATCTACACAGTAAAAAATTATGGAAAGCTGAGCCAGAGTCAATATGTAACCTTACAGGTATAAGACATTTAACTGGGGCATGATTATAAAATCTATTAATGCTCAAGGGCTGATTGTCACTCAGTATTTTGTTTTATTTCTATACACGTCTGTACATATGTGACATTACAGAAACAAAGTAATGTAACTTTACTATTCTATCATTATATTTACTATTATAATATTTAGCATTTACAGCAAATAACATGTTATGCTTTTTTATTTCAGATCTTCCAAGACAAACGAGAAAATAGCCAGCTTAAAAGAAACATTACAAGTTTAAAGTCAAACTTAGCACAAGCCAACCAGATAGCAGATTCCCGCCGATTGGAGGTTTTAACATTACAGTCAGAGTTGAATGTTAAACATCAGGCTGAATTGAAACATCGAGCAGAAATGGAGACCCTACAAACAGATTATAAAAAAACACAAACTGAAGTTAAACAGTTAAAACAAGAGATGGAGGAACATGCAGCTCGAGACCCTGCTGTTGCTGACCAGATGAAGGTTATCCTTCTCTTTATTTGCACTTTATTAGTATCAAAATTAATTGATGTTCAGTACATTATTCAATAAGAATAACACATCATACATATCTGAACTCAAAACATATAGCCAAGAAAATTACTTATTAGGTAGACAAACAATTTACACTTAAAATTCTAAAGTATTGGATTTTGTTCAAGGCAAGTGAATAAAACAATTATACTCACACTAAAAACAAAATACATAGTGTCAAGATTAGATAAAATATCAATAAATGCTGCAAGAGAGAAACATAAAGAAAGTCAAAATTTTTTTTTTGTGTGTTCTTAGTTTCTGTCAATATTTTGTTTTAAAATGTTTTTACGATCAACTTGTATTGTTCATTTTGCATATTTGTTCTGGGCAAACCTGTGTTTTTTATATTTAACTATAATTATACTGTTTTTATACACATATAAAATATCTTCTTTGTTTTTGTAAAGAATAGTCAAAATAACCAAACCCTTTATTTATTTATTTTCAGAACTCTTTTAAAGTTTGCAATAACAGATATTTTTGAAATATATAATCATGGGAGTAATGACTTCTTTTCTTGATGAAAAAAGAAAGAGCAAATTTTTTATGTTCTAAAGATATCATAGTTAAACGTTCTCTCAAAATTGGTAAGACTCTGACAAAACAATTTCAAGTGGAATGTAATCTTTAAAGGATGTGTTACAGTTTCCAAAAAATGAGTCACAAATTTTGTTGCTTAAAAATTTATCAGCAGCAAATGTTACTCACTGCAATCAATACTTATCTTGCATTGTGAAAAAATGCTGTTTTCAGTTCTTCTTTTATGAGTTACGTTATATGCAAGATAAAATACCTTTAAAATTAAATATCTGAAGTCTATTTTTTCTTAAAACTAAAAGCATATATAACCATGGTCTAATTTGTAACAAGGATTTGTGGCAGCTTTAGAGTTGCCATGACATAATTGTGCTTTTATACAAACTTTCTCTTTAGTTTGTTATTTGCTATAACACTTTAAATTTTGCCCTTATAAGTTATTTTTATGGGCCAATGAAATGCAATAAGGCATTTATATCAGGTTACCATTTATTAAAAAAAAAGAATGTTATGTTACTTAATTTATAATGCCGTGTTCTACAATAAATGAAATTCATGTACGAGTATGACCTATTTGTTTGCTATTATGGTTTTTATAGTATTAAATAATATCATGAAACGTGATTTGTGTAAACAAGTTTGAGTCATATGGTCACAGTAAAGACTTTAGCTATTTCATTGCCAGTCAACAGGTTTGTGGACATGTGGTAAAATAAAAATTAATTTAAGCAAATATAAATTTTTTAACAATGGAAAAAGGCATGGTATTGGCCAACTGAACAATTCGTACATGCACATGAAATCACCTTACTCTATATGCAAAATAGGAAATGAATAATATTTTATTAGTGCTCTGAGTTTATATATTAATGTATTCTTTTTCAAAATATAATACTTTTGTTTCAATTCTTTCTATACAACAGAAAAATTTCCACACATTTCTTTTCCTGTCTTTAGGAAATTCAAGTTTTTTTATTGTTGTTGGATCAATACTTTGTCACACTAGATGCTTTACACATACATTTTTCACATATAAGATGAAAAATAAATGCCTGTTAACTATATATCTCTTAAGACATTTTTGCTTTTTAAAAAAGAGGAAGAGTTTACTCTTTGTTCACCGTGGCAAAACTTGATGTTAGCTTAACTTTATAGATTACTTGCTGCCTGCTGATGGCTCAGCTGTAAGTCAGTGGTCTTATAATGCTAAAAATCAGGTTTCAATATCCACAGTGAACAGAGCACATATAGTCATTTGTGTAGCTTTGTTATTAACGACAAACAAACAAAAGATTACTTGTCCTACAGGAAAAGTAGTTGCCCTTGTTCACTTGCCTTGTATATCCCTAGATGTAATATGAATTAGAAAGTTTGGAAACAGTACTTCTGCTTTTGCCACATATAAAGAACTTAAACACAATGCAGTGTCATAAAATCAAACCAAAAATGACATTTATCTAGAACTCACATTTCAATTATTGAATAAATTATTTGGAAACAAAATTATTTACTACAATCACAATCACAATTAAAACCAACTATCTGGTAACCACAAATTATTAAGAGTTGTTAAATGCTAATGTCTTGGGTAAATTGTGCAACAATTCTTCTTGAAGCTTCCATATTCTTATTATTTCATTTTCATATCAGACACTGAGCTGGCACTTGAAGGAGAAAACTCAGGAATTAGCAGCTATAAAAGAACAGCTCTGTGCTGCAGAGACAAGCCACAAGGGGGAGCTGGAAAATCTTAATCAGCAGTTACAGGTGAGTTTATAGTGGTTTTGAAGTAGCTTAACACAATGATAATACACTAGATTTTAGCATATTATAGACAAGTTTCAATTTGTAAAAGAATGAACAAAGAAAACAGTCTCAATGTGGGTTCGTATTTTTAATTTAAATATGTGCTAGTATTTGTCCTTTATGTATATTATCTCATCAGGCCTTTCATAAATAAAGTTTCATAATTCAAGTTTTTGTTGTGTTTTTTATTCTTGTTCCTTATTTATTTATTTGACGAAAATATTTATCAGATAATTTCTTTAGCTTGAAAATTAGTTGATATATGTAATGTTTTTTCTAATGCTAACTAATTTCACTATTTTTCACTAAGTGACCTCTAAACTGTCTATGAAACAATTATTTGAGTGACCATTTAAGACCCTCAAAAGATTTTTTTATGTATGAGTTGAATTGTTTTTGAATATTTTATTTAGGCAATTAATTTGTTTCTGTAGCATGTGCAGAAAGAAACTGAAGATGTGAAAGTTGAACTTGCCAACACTCGTAAAGAGAAGTTTAGCTATCAAACCAAGTTAACAGAGCTTAGGAGTGCCTTGAAGTCCACTATGGATCGAAACAAAGTATGTAAGAAATACATTTTACAATGTTTACCATCATATCAATAAAGAATAATTTTGTTATTATTATGGTACATAATGCCTTATGCTAACTAAGTGTGATGTACACATCAGTGTTTTGTGTGTCATTACATCACAATAACTTATAATGATTTTTGAGAAATCTTTCTATACTGGCCCTATATGGCTTTCCATTAAGAAGAACATAATAGCATCTGAACTATACTCTGTGTATGCTTCACACTGCTGCCAACAAGGTCTTTAACTCAAGACTAGTGCTCATCCATTCTAAAGGGTTCTATAAAGAGATAAAATAAGAAATATTAAGCTTAAATCCAAGGTAAATTTAACAACGTATGTATAGAGACATTATAAGATTTAAAACTTATTATTTAAGTGTTCATGATATTCTTTTGTGTTTACCTCCAATCCTAATTAAGATTACTTGGTGATGTTCCATGACAGTCTTCTTACCATCTAGGTTCTAGTGGAAGCAGTAAAGGATAGAGTATATTGAAACTTGATACAATTTTCCATGCTTTTACCATTTGTCAATAAGTTTATATAAAGTTAAAACTGATTTGTTTTCTACAGTTCTTAGCCTTTAACTTAGTGATTTGTGTAAATTAGTATGTACTTTTACCTCTTGAGCTGGCTCTTATTACGAATCGTAATGCTTGGCTTTGAATAAACATAGGAACTCCAAAGTCAACTCTTGATGTGTAAAGTTGGTTCTTCAGAAAATGGTCAAGCCAAAGATACTAGCATTCTAGACATTCCTCCTCCAGCATCTCCACCTCCTTATGATGATACCTTTATTACAACCCTGTTGCAGCAGAGTGCTGTTCTTCCTGAAAGCAGGTAATCCTGTTTGTGTCATTAAATGCTGGGTGAAGTGTTGTATCATGTTGGATGTTTTCATTGTGATAATTTTCTGTGTTATGATGGCAATACTTGGAATTTCACTATATTGTGTCATGTTATTATTTGTTTCATTTTGAAAATATTTGGTGTTATGATATTAATACACGGTATTTATATGTTTTATCATATTGTTACTTCGTGTTTCATTTTGATAATCCATTGTGTTTTTTCATATTATTCACTATTTCTTCATAATAATTCTTGTTCTTTATACTGTTTTTTAATTGTGATATTTGGTCTTGCTTATCATGGTATTTAGAGTTTTATTGTGATAATGTTTGATGGTTTGTGATTTTATTACATAGCATTTAATTGTTGTAATTCTTGATGTTGTATGATGTTAACACTTGATGTTTCATCCTTATAATTCTTGTTGTTATATCATGTTATTTATTGTTTAATTCTGATAATTTTTATTTGTCATGCTGTTACTTGATGTTTCATTGTGGTAACTGCTGGTGTTATATAGTATTAATATTCTTGGTGTTGCAATGCACTAATGTTAGCTATTATATATGTATGCTTGCTTGTATCATTCTAACACTTATTGTTGTATTATGACAATTCTGGGTGTTGCATCTAGTTTATACTTGTGTAATGTAATATTAACCCTTCATTTGCAGTTTGTGTAAATCTGTCTACCACCCCATGGGAAAGATTTGCAAATTTTTCGGCAGGCCATTCAAAATGTTGCACACAAGATACTTGCATCATATGATGTCAACTGCAGTTGTCTACACTAACGTCATATTCTGCAGTTGAAGGGTTAATACTTCATATTTTACCATGCTGAAACCTGGTAGTACATTGTGCTACTACTTGCTGTATCAGTATTTTCCTTGGTGTTATACTGTGCTAACATCTGGTTTTAAGTCTTGAAATGATGTGCAATAGACACCATTTGATGTTACAGAATATAACTAATAGCTAGCTTACTTTATACTTGTTTATCATTTCTCTATCAAGGTTTCCTCTCAAACAGGTAAATGTGGTAGACACCAATTAAAATATACTAGAGACCCAGTAACCATTTATTGTCTTGACTTGGGTGTAGCTTAATATTTGTTTGGTGTAACAGTGGCTTGGATTTATAAAGTAACATGTGCTCAAGACTAAGAGTTGGGAGATACTGTGTATTAATTTCAAATGTTCATGTTGCACATTTTTAGTTACCTTTTTACAGTTCCTTATAGCATGAAATTAATGTATACTATTAGCACTTGTAACTGTAAGCTATAATGACTTGATTTTGGATTTATTCTTAGACCTCTAAGTAATCTTCAGACATGCCTAAATGCACTGAAGAAAGAAATGGCTGTTCTACAAAAGCAGTTGGAAGACCAAGCTGAAACAGCTGCTGGCTCTTGAAGTTATCAGCTCTAGGTAACTTGTATATGTAATTCAGTTTACTTATTTTTTGTGTTTTTAATTATTCAGCTGGGTCTTTGTGTTTTGAAAAATTTAGGAATTAATAAAAATAGTCAGTTCAAAGTATGATGTGGCAATTCACCATAAATTAGTTCAAAATGTGAAAGATTATTTTTCAAACTCTTTCTCATATCTAACACATTTGATCAGTTCCAATACCTTACTAACCTTTTCCTACATATTTTATGCGTGTTTTATTAGTTGCACTTAAAGTTTCTAAGGTAATTGTCCAGTTGACTGGTTGATATTGACTGATGGTTTCAGTTGATGAATCATAGAGTTTAAAATTGAAAAAGTCATTAATTATTCACCAATTGAATTTTTGGCTATACATTCTACATGAACTTGCTTAGTATAAAAACAAAATACATTGCTTACTATGTTTAGTATAAAAGTAATGAAACACTTACAGAATTTAATATCGGAATAAGGAGTTCACAAAAGCAATCAGTATTGGCACTTGTCATTCTGTCTTTGGTGTAAATGCTCAAAAGAAGTGAAAGAGAAACTCAGCAGAACTTAAACATCTGGCCCTACTTTATAGCAAGTACTTCTTCCAACTTACTGAGATAAAGTTTTAAAAGACTTTGTCTGTAATTCCATGGTTTCATATGAAATGTCTTGGCAAATCCACCACTGAATTTTTAAATCTGGATATTGTTTTTTTGAAGAATGTTTAAATGTTGTGTTGTAAACGTAATAATGCTATATTTGAGTGAAATATGTGTCAATCAAAAATTATAATTTGTCTTTTTTTTTTTCTCAGGATTTTTTGGTAATGACTTTTCCTTTTCCAAAATGTATGCATGCATTATATATTAAAGTTAACAAGTTTTACCACCAGAAGTATTTGACACTTTGTTATGAGATCGCTATCTCTTGTTGAATTAAGTAACTGTGGTATGGTATGGTATATGATAAATTCTTATTTCTTTAACATACAGCATGAAAAATGGGGTGATTCTTATGTCAACAACTAGCATAGCTGATGCCACCCTATACGTTGAGATGAAACTCTTTTTAAATTGTCTTCCTGGACATCTTCACCTGCTTTAATAGAAAAAAAAGTGCAATGAATTTTGTTTTTATGTCAGTTATTTGTTTGTTAAACTGTAATGTTGTGTTATATATATCTTGTAAACATATGATTTATTGAGACAGTTTAGTTTTTATATCATGTACTGCTGTCTTTACTGTTATTTTAGCAAATGCTGTCTCAAAAATCACATGTAGACTTTGCACATTGAGCAAGTTTATTGTTTTAATTTGAACTGGAAGTGAAAAATAACATTTATGTTGTGTGTTTAGTAGAAATTTATAAACATTTACATGTACACACCAACTTTTGAATATGAGCCTCAGTTTTTGTATATTGTAACAACTGGTGTTCTTAACTTCTCAGACTTGTGAAGGAGAAAACTTGTGTAGCCCTTGTGTGAATATGTAGAAATATGAAATCATTGCATCTAATAAGTTTGACTATAAAGTATGCCACTGGATGGGCCCATTTATAGTTGTTGAGTGTTTTCACAAGCAGTCAAGTTTACTTTTTTTCTTTTTAATTTTCCCCTTTCTCTGTAGTGAAAAATACTTGCTCCAGTATTTAAAGTGGGCAAATATTCTGATAGTCAATAGAATCATTATACAAATAACCAAATTTACTTTTCAGAAATCTAGTCGTCATTATGTGCTTACATTTTTGCTTTTATTTTTACTTGTTACAAGACGAACAGTGCAGTAATGTAGTAACTTTTATTAGAAGATATATATATATCTTACAATAACAATTGGGAGTTATGACTTTTGAAATATAAGAAATGGTTATTAAATCTATCACCTAACATATTCTGTGAGTGTTTGTGAAAATGTGAACAACTGTTTATGGTTTTAAATAATTTTAAGGTGCTTTTAGAAATGTACATTTAGTTTCCACAAATTATGTCCTCAGTTTGAAACTGTTATAGTACCAACTGTGCTGTATAATGACAGTTACTCTTTGCTTGGAAATACTTGCCCATTGTAGGTCTTGTCACTGCAAGTGGTGATGCTGGTGCACATCATCAGAATAACTACTATTCAGGTTGAATGCACTCTGTGTCGCACAATATGTAATTAGAGGTGTAACGTGGGTGTATAGTGAGTACTGAAGTGCTATCTGACATACAGTCTTCCAACAGGAGGGTTTTGTAAGTACCATAACAATCTATGCAAGTAAAGTTCATTTGGTGAAATCATTTAAGGCATTAATAATGCCATATCATCTGTAGCATACATGGCAGGAGGTACTATACTGCTCTTCAGTTTTTCTGTGTTTGATGAGGAACACATTAGTGTGTGTTGTATATCAAGTATGATATAAAACTTGCCAAATGGTCAAAGTTGATGGACAATTTGTTGTGTTAAATTGAGGACATAGTTTATGGACAGTATTCTCTGACTTTAAAGATTTTTTATTAGTTAATATTAAGATTGTTACTCTGTAAACTGTAAATATTTCATGATTATATGTACTTAATTGTTTGTGTTATTTAAGCATCAAGTTTTTACTTTTTCTGTATTAAGAAGTGGCATTGCAAAGCTTTATAAAATTTATATTTTATTTGTTGGATAAGAATATTTGGTTTCATTTTGTATGAATATGCTATGTAATGCATTATTATTAGTCCAGTAACATTTTTGAAGTCCTTGACATGGTTGTGGGCAATAGAACTGATTGATCTTCTCTTGGGAGTTAGATATGGTTTAGTGTTTTTCATTATGATTTCTTTATATATTTCTGACAGGCCAGTAGTAGTGATACATAAATGTTAGTTTCTGTTTTATTATAATCTTTAAAATATGTTGCACGATATGTTTTGATAAAGAATTGAATAAGTTGTTCACAGATTTAGAATATTATATATACATTTTGAAATTGCTATTATAGATTTAAAATTTTTAAAAGTGCAACCATTTAATAATAATGATCATATTTTTTGATTTTTTGTAGTGACAATAATGTATAGCTAGACATGTAATATGTTTTACATTTGTTTGAGAGTTGAAAGGCTAACCCCAAGGAATACCTATCAGTCATCAAGATTGTTATTCCCAAAAAAACCTCAACACTCGTCAAGTCTTTAAAAAATGAGTTATTGTTTTGTAATTTTAATTTATGTTTGAAGCCAGTGGAGTCAAAAATGGTGAAAAAATACTTACTGCTTTACATTGATTTTCAATTTAATTTTTTTACTGCTTTGTTCATGTTTATGAAATTAAAGCCATAGGTAAAACATTTAGCAACACAGAAAGTATTTAACAACTTATCTCAATTAGGTTTTTGTATAAATAGAAAAACTTATTGCCTGTTTCAGTGAATTTTCTCCATTTAAAAACATTTCCAAGTATGGCAGGAATCATATAAGTTACTAAGTTTAAGCAAAACATGCTTGGCTAGTTATTGAAAACCCATATTGATGGTCATTATTCAGTTAATTTTGTTTGAGATGTGGTTGCTTTAGTGAGCAGAAATGACTAACTGCTTCTTGCATTAGGAAGGATGACCATCAATGAACTTGCTTCAGAATCATCTACAGCTTTCAGTCTGTAGAATTAAGCATTTATTATTGCTATTGATATAGTAACTTTACAAACATTTAATGCAGAATTTAATAATAGGCATCCATTTATTGGCAGTCTATAATCAATAATGAAGTATGAAAAATCAGAAAAATTTATCTTAACTTTTACATAAATACTCATTTGTTAAGATAGGAAATATAGAAATAGTCTTATTTAATGTATCCTTTTCAGATATTCAACTAAACTTTACTTTCGACAGAGTTAAAAGGATCTTAACATCTTATAGTGAGAATACCATAAATACCTTTTGCTAATGAATAGACATGAATTTTTTTGCTAGTATGCCCAACAAAAGAATGTATTATCTTGAGTTCAAAGTTATAAATTATGAGAGTTATATAAAAAAGCAAAAAATATAAGATTTCAACTTAAAATAGTTGTTGCTTGTTGTAACTAGTCAGTTCATGACTCGACATCTTGATGATAAATTGTAACTTTTAGCATGTTTTACTTTACTTTTAACTAACCTCTGTTAATTCAAAAATGACTACAAAATAGAAATTGTTTATATTTTTATAATTTTGTAATGCAAGCTCTGAAACCAAATTTTAAATCCTTTGAAAGGAATGATCTCATGATTCAATATTTGTTATTATTTTCAACATTTTTTCTGATTAATTTATCTGGAACATTTGATGTAGAGGCACTTCTATATATTTGACAATATCCTCATATCAATATAAACTTTAATAGGAACAAAACATATTAACTTATTCAATGGCCTTAATAAGACCTACATGCTTTTCCTTTCTATTTTTGTGATTGATTTCTAGAGATGGTAAGGCTAAGGAAGACAGTATGTAATGTTTTGACATGTGTGCCTCATATATATATATGTATGTATATATATATATATATATATATATATATATATACACACACATTAAGGAGTGAAATGTTACATATGCATTTACTAGGAAATTATACACCTAATTTATTGCAAAATATAAGCATGTTAAAAGTGTATACATATAGTAAATCACATTGTAATCCTTATTAAAATATATTTCTTATTATGCTACTAATATTGTTGTGTGATTTTTTGTTCTAAGCTTTATTTCAAATGTTTTGTTTTAGATATTTGTTTGCTAGAGGAAGCTGCTACTCATGATGATGCAATATCTAGAATACTCATGAATTTTAAGGATCAAGAAGCTTTGTGAAATATCTGGTACATGGGTACATTATAAATCAAGTAATGAGTAATAAGAAGTAAAAAAATATACATTAAATGAGTGTGAGTTACTTGGACAGTCATAGTTATCATATCCTTTTTGCCATTTAGTTACTCTGAATTATCCATTGAATATAGACTGTACTAGCAAAATTTTATAGAAGAAATAAATAAATTCATTTTTGTTACATAACCTAGACTTCACATATAATTCAAAATGACCCAACCAATGAGAGAACAACATTTGTATCAGAAGTGGGATTATTTTGGTGAATATAGAACTTTAACTAAATTTAGTATGACAAACTGATCATAAATGAGGTTGCAGCTTTACTAGAGCTGATGAAACAAAAGAGGGTCAAGAAGAAAGAGACAGAAAATTAAAAGGAGAACAAAAAAAAATAAAATAATGGGATGGAAAATTAAAAGATCAAGAAAGGGACCAAAGATTGGAAGAATGAGACAAAGCTAGAACATGAAGAAAAAATTTATAGAAAATTAAAAGAATATCAAATGGTAAGGGATGGGAATATATTTAAAGAAGAACTAAGAAAGAAAATATATCTGATTGAAAACAAAATTGATGAAGCTACTGAACAGAATGATTACAACAACAAAAATTGAGGAAGTACAGAAAAATTATAATGGCAAGTTCAATGATGTAGAAAAGAACCTCAATGACAGAATAATATATTAGGAAATAGAATTGGTAAATATAAAGATCAAATCAGCCACATTTCTTTTTGCATCTGTTTACAACTTCCAACCTAAAACAGCATTTACTATTAAATATGGAATAGGAGAACCTATTTAGTCTACACCTGTCACCATTACTGCTATTACATCTGTTACTGCAGAATTTTTGTGTATTACTACAGCCATGTCACTACCAAATCCAGTTCCAGAATTTCTCTAGTCAGTTAAACAACATTGGGCATTTGAGAAACCAATGAACTATGATGAAATGGAATCATGGGAGGCATATCAGGCTCAGTTCAAAATAATTTACAAAGTAATCAGATGGAATAGTAAACAATAAGTTATTGATCTTGCTGCTAATTTAAAAGAACCAATTTTAACACCATTAATTAACCTTCCAGCTGAGAGCTGTAATAACTATCGAGCATTGATAGCTGCTTTATCCAACAGGCTCAGTGTAATACATTAGATGGAAAGTTCTAGAACAGGGTTCAGAGGAAAGAAGACTAGTGAAACTTACAGAAGCTTTGAAAGGCTTGCCCAATTATCCTACCCTGTTGTTTTACATCATATGATAGAATCATTGGCACGTTACAGATTTCTATATGCCATAACAGACAAGGATATGAAAATTAGATTGAAGCAGAGTATGTGTAGAGAAAGCTCTTCAGTTGGTGATGGAACTTGAATCAATTAAAGTTACAGATAAACAACTAAAGGCAATACCTAGAAGTTACAGGATCATCAGATTGGGTATTATTGAAAAATCAACTCACTTTAGCAGTAGTCTAGAAGAACTGAATAGATTAGTTAGACAAATAGTTAAGACAATAGGTGTTTCAAGTGCAACTTAAAAGGACATATTGTCTGGAACTGCAGATAAAAACGTGTGTTGAATAAGAACTTCTCCCAAAGGTTATCAGAAAGTAGTAACTATTATAGATGTGGAAAACCTGTTTATTACAGCTGAGAATATGAGGAATCAACATCTGTTACCCCAAATGAGACAATACCCTAAAGATGAGTTTGAGCCCAACCAGATTAAAGGAACAACAAAGGGCTAAACAACCAGAAAGAAGCCAATTTAATGGGGCAAAGTTCAGCTGAGAACAATTCATCTGCTCCAAATGAATTAAAAACTTCTTTATTCAAAGAAACCAGTTCTTGGGCTTATTGATGGGAAGCCTTGCAGTAAGTTAATCAACATTGGTTCTACATCTCCAGAAGTTTGACCTGATTTGTTAATGAAAATGGAAATTTGCTTGCAGAGATGAAGAAAAAAGATAGTTTGATCTGAATAGCAAGTGAACATAAAGTTTCAGCAAGAGGAAAGTTGGAAGTTACCCTTACTGTAAAAAACATTTCTATGTTTCATGATGTGTAATTGACATCAAGGAAGAGTGCATATTACAGAGGCATGGATGCAAGTTTAGGTTAAATTCAAATAGCTTCACTGTCTATGACCAGGAAATCACTATGCACTATATGACAATTATTAGATGTTTAATATCCAGTGATTAAGATCAATAATATAACACCAAGAAAGCAAATACTCATGCCAAGACTTGATAAGAATATATTTACATTTAGTGACTGGAGTATAATAGATACACTCCAGCATGTCTGAATTATAAAGATGTCATCATTAGGGCCATGAATACAACTAACCATAGTATTCGAGTCAAATCTGGATGGGACACTGCAAGGTGTGAAGCTGTACAGGTGCTACTTCCACATCAGAAGTAGTTACCTTTGAGGCATGTTGTAGGAAGTATGATTTCAAATCCTTATACAACAACAGCTGTAGAGGTATTACAACTGATCATTGCTAGAGATTGCATGACTTGCTCACATGATATCAGGGTATATTCTCCAATTGAGGTCATAACTTTGACCAAACAGATGAAAAATTGAAACTGAAAGTGCAGGCCCAATGTGCCAGTTAGTCAGATGACTTCCACTTGCAAAACTGGTTGAGGCTTTCAAAGGGATAGAAGCCATGAAAGAACAAAGAGTAATAAAAAACCTAGTCCTAAACCTTGGTTATCATCCATTGCACTTGTGAAAATGAGTAGATCCACAAAGCTCTGTGTGGACTCCTGCATGGTGAATGATGTAACAAAGAAATATGCTTGCCCACTGACAAGGACTGACTCTACTTTGGATGCTTTATCTGGATCAAAATGGTTTTGAACACTGGATCTTAAAAAATGGATATTGGCAAGTGCAGGTGATAAATTAAGTAGAGAGAAAACAGCTTTTACTGCAGGAAATGGATTGTGGCAATTTGGGGTGTTACTATTTGGACTATATAATACGCCTGCAACATTTCAATCACTAGACCACAAATTGTTAATAAGCATTCAAGAAACCAAATTCATAATTAACCATTATTGCTATATTAGGATACCCAACTTTTGAAGATTCACTCATTTTAGATACAGATGCTAGTGATCTTGTAGCAGGAGCAGTGTTATTACAAGTGCAATATGGAAAATAACATAATTGCCTAATATAATACCAGGGCAATGAATGTAGCAGAGAGGAGGTATTGTACTACTCAGAAAGTGCTACTAAGTGTTGTTCGAGTTTGAAATCATTACCTATTTGGACAAAAGTTTACAATTCAGACACATCATGTAGCATTGAAGTGTTTAGTGAATTTTCACAATCCAGAGTGCCAAATAGCAGGATGGCTCCAGAAAGTTCAGGAGAAGAATTTTAACATTGGTTGATCAAAAATAGTGCAAAAATATTTTCCTGGCAAACAATCACTCCACACACTCTGAAGATAAAGATGTACTGGCTTGTTTTGTCAGAAATGGAAGGATGTTAGGCGACAGAAGCGATGACTACAGTTGGGCATTTCACAGTATATTTTCAGCATTGCTTTCACAATCTTTTAATGGTTGGATACTTAGATGTTAAGAAAATGTTATAGAGAATAAGAGAATGCTTCTATTGTGTTGGGTGCAGGGATCTGTAAATAATTGATGTAAGTCACGTGAACACGATGCTGTGAGCAAAAAGGTCTATGAAAGAAACACCATGGGCCATATGTTGTATTGAAAGGAATCAATTATGTGTTTGACAAGATCCATAAGGACAGGTAGTTCTGGCCAAAGATCATCCACCATGACTGTCTTTGGAAGTATGTTGATGGGAGAGTGAGCAGCTCGGTAACTTCACAAAAGACTTTGCCAGTGGATTGTTAAACTGCCGAAAATCCCAGTGTTCATGTCGTGACCACTTCCAGGGATCAACAAGGATAGAGCTGCCAGTGAACTCGCTCAACCACTTACCCAGGGAGAACTCTCCTAGTGAGAAGGATAACAAGAGGCCATAACCTTCGACAAAAATACACACCAAGAACACTTGATGAATGGACAGTTTATTGTAGTGTTTTATTTTTATATTAGGGTTGTTCCAAGTACTTCAAAAGTCAGGATGGTTACAGTGTAGTAACCTATAAGTTCATTGTTTTGGTTTATATATTTATTTGATAGAGGGAGAGAGAGTTACTAACTATGATCATGATCAATACCTAGAACGTTCGTGAATGTTAACGGCAGAAAATATTTTTGAAATGTCAAGAAACAATGGTACATTATAAATGTGAGTAATGTGTAATAAAAAATCAATGAATATTGAATGAGTGTTTCAGTTCAGTAATATACATTGAGGGTTACGCATCTATTTTCCCATTCGTTTATTTGGTAAGTTACGTGTTGTTTGTTTGTTTGTTGATCAAAGCTAAGAAGTTTTAAGAGCACATGAGTGAAAGCAAAGGAGAATTTGTTAAATGATATATATAAACTACGTCACTCTGTTATATCCCGTGCCGACGAGACCTTTTGTGTAATACCAGGACTCAACAGGCCAGCTGGGACACGATAGACATAGTAGTGATCTTTAAACTATATATATATCCTCAATTTCAATTAATAACAACTGTTATGATTTAAATGAAATTAAGCAAGTGAATTCTAATTAGTACCAATTATATTTAAGTCATTTACATATCAGATTTATAGGACATGAATCGTTGTTAGATTGCACATAGCCTGTAACAACGTTATAGAAGAACTACATTTTTATTGTTACTTCTATTGGATTTTGCATTATTTTAACCAAATAATTCAAAAGAACCCACCCATCGACAGAACAACAGTATAATAATACTTGCTATCGATTAAAAAGCAAAAATATAAACGAGACATAAATATAACCTATAACCTTTAGAGGAAAAAAGGGAAGGAAAGCCATTTACTGGGGTTTATGTGATTAATTTGTTTGTGAAGATGATATAGAAGTAATTGTGGTTATATAAAACAAATGCAGCTACAGCGCAGTGAAATAAAATAATACAAAGAAATATTAAGGTTAAGACATTTGCGTAAATTTTAGATAACACAGATCTTAAAAAA